AACCCCCTAAGCCCAAAACCCTAAAACCCAGCCTAAACCCATATAGGTTTGGGGCTGCTTGCTGGGAACCCTGAAACGGGGTTGAGAGGTTTAGGGGTTTAGGGTCTAGGCTTTTAGCATTTAGGGCGGCTTGCTGTTATGCTTCATCCTCGAAGCTCCAATGCACCAAACCCCACAACCCCCTAAGCCCAAAACCCTAATTTAGGGCGGTTTGCTGTTATACTTCATCCTCGAAGCTCCAATGCACCAAACCCCACAACCCCCTAAGCCCAAACCCCTAAAACCCAGCCTAAACCCATATAGGTTTGGGGCTGCTTGCTGGGACACCTCATCCTCGAAGCTCCAAGCACCAAACCCCAGAACCCCCCAAGGCCAACACCCTAAAACCCATTATGCACTGCCATATGCAAGGGTTTAGGGTTTTGGGTTTGGCTTTAAGGTTTAGGGTTTAGGGGTTTGGGTTTAGGGTGATTCTCTGTGGCTCTAACCCCCAAACCTTAATTGGTCTGTCATCCAGCATGAATGTGGCATGACCAGAAGTCCAACACCTAAAACCCCCCATCACCGACGGCTATACTAATCCTAGGCCCTGATTACAATCCTAAACACGAAGCTCCAACTGATGTCAATTGCTGCCAAGGCCAGGGAGAAGGCATGCCGCATCCCTCAGCTGCTCGGCTGCCGATGTTTGCTGCCGAGGATGAAACCTTGGTTGTCAACATTGTTCCGAGGCTCCCCATTCAAAAATCAAGGAGGGAAGGATGTTCAGAGTTCTCAAAGAGATCTGTGATGACAAAGAGAAGGTGAAAGAGCACGAGATGGAGGCCTGGTCTGTCATCATGGGCTTCTGCATGTCATGTGCAGGCTCCTGTGATTCCTGTGTGCAGGTGAACATCTCCGGCACGGTGACCTCCAAAGGTGCGCGAGAGGCCTTGAACGAGAACCTCCAGAACTTCGCGGACGATGTGAGTGCGAGCAGTGCCCTGGTGGGCGCTGACGGGAAGCTCCCGAAGCTGCCCAAGAAGAAAAAAATCCTCACTGAAGAGGAGCAGGTGGACAAGCAAGTGCTTGTTCAGTTCAAGAAGATGCTTGCGGACGATGGAAAGTTGACCAGTGGAATCTCTGATCTGAAGTCTGTCCCGTACAGCTCCGAACTGGCCAAATCGATGCTGAAGCACAAGGTCACTTTGAAGAAATGCATCGAGGACTTCGATACCAGCACCAAAGTGGACGGCGTCACCATCCAGATCAAGAAGGCTGCTCTGGAGGAAGCGCAGAGCAACATGAAGCCTATCTATGTCGACCTCAAGGAGACCCACCGACGAATCAAAGCAGCAGGCCTGAAAATATCCAAAGGTGTGGGGCAGGAAACCGACCAGTCCTGCAACGAAGCTCGCTAAGCCAAGCAAGGCCTGGTCTCAATTGCCGGGGTGTTTCGTGCAGGTCCAGTTTCTGCTCCAAAGCCACAGACCCTAAAATGTAAGCCCCAACAACCCTAATATTACGTACTCTAAACCCAAAGCCCTAAACCCAACCCTGAGCCCCCTAAACCCTAAGCCCTAAAGCCTTGGCCTGATTTAAACCATTTAGCTGAGTTGTCAAAACTCTGCCTACATGTACTAAGGCCTTGAGGTGTCTTGTCGATTCTAGGGGAATCCCTAGACCCATGGAGAAAAAACCCTTAAACCCCAAACCCCAAACCCTAAACCCAACCCTAAGCCCTAAACCCTAAGCCCTAAAGCCTTAGCCTGATTTAAACCATTTAGCGGAGTTGTCGTAACTCTGCCTATATGTACTAAGGCCTTGAGCTGTCTTGTCGATTCTAGTGGAATCCCTAGACCCATGGAACAACTCTTAAACCCAAAATCCAAAACCCAAATCCACAAACATCGTCCAATCACGGCCAAAACCCTAAATCCCCAGGTTTCCGAGATCTCGATGGATGTGTGCTGCTGCGATCCGAGCGAGCCCAGCTGTTTCAGCTTGAAACACTAATTCTTTTCAGTTTGTGCATTCATGGTGCCGACAATGTATGCTAGTATCATGCCGGGATACTATACAGCATTCCAGGTTAACCCAGCGCGCTGTGATAGGAATGGTGACTGTGATTCTTATTGTGTTATGTTCGGGGCATTAATGGCTGGAGCTAGGGGATGGATAACATTGTCGGGGCTACTACAGCGGGTTCTACTCAGAGCATACACAGGCCCATGGCACTTCAAATTAACGTGTATATCGGAGGAGGCAGGGTGCTTTCGGGAGTTCTGAGAACCAGGCTCACAAGCTTCGGGTTAGGGCTTAGGGCTCTATAGTACAGCCGGGGTTAGCTATATAGGATGACCTCTGAATTTAAGATGGCAACTCATCCTCCCGAGCATATGCACGTGACTGTAGTATGTTCTACAGGCCATAGAGCTCGGAAAAACCGAGCATTTGCAAGGCTGGGACTGTAGTTTGACCTATAGTTTCCATAGCTCCGAAGACCCAGCTGCTTTGGAAAACCAAGCAACAGATGCTGCAGAAGTGGATGCCAGGAGCCACCATCCTTTTGTTGTGCTGTGTTTCGGATGTCTGTTGTCGTCGGGGTTGCACTGTAATTTCAGCTGCCACGATTGCTTGCAGTTAGGAGGATGCAGTTCAGTCGATCATGGATGAGCATAGCATGCAGCTGTAACCGCACACTACTACTGCAAAGATTGCATAGACCAGCTAAAGCCTGTATACGGGTTTAGGGTTATATTATAACTTCAATTGAGGGTAGTGTCTTGGTCGGTTTCTGCATATAGCCTAAGATTGAAAACCCAAAGCCGAAATCCACGACCTACTCGATGCCTCCAGCCGGAAGGCCCTAAACTGGTAGCGACGAAGTCTATCCCTAAACCGGAAACCCACCCAACCCGAGAAAACAAATCCCGTCACCCTAGACCCCCAAAATTCTGAACCCGAATCCCTGAATGAACAAAGCATCACCATGCAAGCCCCAAGCTGTAAACCGATCTTTAGCCTATATCCTGAACCTGCGACCAAATGAAGACTATCCCTAAACCAGAAAGCCAGCCCCCTCAAGGAACATGTCACCCTAGAGTAAGCCCGAAACCTTTGGAAGCTCGATGAGTGTCCTGGACGCCCTGTGACAAACGATGAGGAGGACCCCATGTGATGTAGTTGTTTCAAAAAAACAAGAGCCTTTCAGAATAAGCACCAACCCCAAACCCTCGTGTTTGTGCAGGACAGTGATCGATGCGATCAAGTCCCGAGGATGGGGAGGACCACATGTCATGTAGTTGTTTCTACACATCTCCCCCCCCAAACCAACGCTGAAGCCTTTCAGAATAAACCCCAACCCTAAACCCTCGTGCTTGCGCAGGACAATGATCGATGTGATAAAGTCCCTGCACTTATCTATCGGCAGGGCCCGACACTGGAGCTCGAGGATGTGGCTTGAGAGTTTAGGGTTTAGGGTGCCGGGATCTTACATGAATGTGCATGAAGCTTGATGCAGGAGAGTGACAATCCTCGGGATCCATGGATTTGGTGCACGACCTGCTCGATGTGACAAAGCAGCTGTCTGCTCGCAGAATCAAAGAGCTGTTCGACGCTATCTCCAGTCGGGTCCCCTCAATCTGGCTGCCGCCTAGCTTGCAAGATCTTGCGGGCTATTCCACTGACAAAAACTGTTACCGGAATTTTATCCAGTGGCTGGAGCGCCAGCCGTGGCGAAAAATCCTCCCAAAGCCTACCGAGTGTCTTGGCTTGAATCTGGGCTTCGCATGCTTCATGCAGAGGCTCTGCTGTAGGGTTTTACATGGTGTTCCAACCGAGGGTCAAGGTTCTTCTAGTGGACAAGAAGAGGCCAGCGAAGGACCAGCTGTATGAATCTGTATGGCATATCATGCTGCCGCATGAAACGCTGGGGGCTGAAGCTCATGCCGACTGCATCCTATCACATGGGCTGGTGTGTCGACCCCCTGTCTCGTGCAATAACTTCCCGAGGCTCCGGTCCGTCTACTCCTACTCGGAGGATGACTTCAAGCGATTATTCCTTGGCAAAGACGGTGTGCCTCGAACAGCAGCAGGTCCAGCTCAGCGCGGCAGAGGGCAGTCGACCCTGACAGTGTAGGCTGCTCCGGGGAAACCGCAACTAAGGAATGTCTCCGCTACTGGAAAAACATGCAGAACACGGAGCAGCTCGATCGGGAAAGGATTTACCTTTTGTGGCGTACAGTGATGATCGGTTCTCACATATATAGCTGCAGCTGAGGTGGTTTCAGCAGCACCCGGTCCTAGCAAGCATGTCCGTCCCTAGTCTGCATTCAAAGCTTCGAGGCCACACTTTTTCCAAACACATTGGGGGAACCAATAAGGACACCGAATTGGAGAGATGCATCCCTCTTGAATTTCATGGGGATGATGCCGATTCCCATCGGCGGAGGACATTTTTGATTTGCAGCTTTCAAAGTGCATTGACTTGCGGACCCACGCTGGACACGATTTATCCGGTGTACTGCATTGACAATCAGCAGGCATCGAAGTGGACACAGTCGGAATTGGACTTACACCTGGTGTGGTCCATCCAACAACTCCAACAAGGCGAGCTCTTCAACCATGACGCTCACGGACGGCCACACACACCACCGTATCGCAACATCATGGGTGAATACAAAGCCATCTGGGTTGGCATGAAAGGCGATCAAGCCTTTATAAAAAAGGTGTTTCGGCTCTCGAAGTCGTGGGTGTCGAAGAATATGTGCCCTTACTGTAAGGTGGGGACGTGATCAAAGTACCACGACTATATGTAGGGTCAGATCGAGCTGCTGTTCAAACAGAGAGTCCTGACCCCTGAAGGCCTCTTCAGATGGAAACTCCACAATGCTGTACACCTACACCGGCTGCAATGCTCCACACCGAACCACGTTGCGCAATTGCACATGCATCGGTGCAATAGGACATGTCTGTGAAGAAGACAAACCCAAACCCTAAAACTTAAACCCCCTTAACCCAACGGATCCGAATTGGTCCCTGTGCTAAGGCACATTACAGATCGGGAGTTCCTGCTGAACATCTCAAATTCTCCCTGGCTACTCTGCCCGGGCATGACTGCGAAGCGTGTCTGGCCGGACTACTTGCACGTGGTGGACCTGGCACTGGCGCCAGATGCTGCTGCATCTGCCGCTCGGCAGCCCATAGCCGGACAATTCAAAGTAATTATGACCGATATACCTGGCTTGCATATGTTGCTGGAACAGGCCTTGCTAGAACTCACTCGTGATGCTTCACACTGGCAAGGACTGGATCCTGTCATATATCGATATAGATTATATCGGTTTAATTTAAGGCAATTTGGGTTTAGGGTTTAAGGATTTTCCCCTTAGGGTTTAGGCTTTAGGGCTTTAGGGTTTAGGGTGTAGGGTTCTGCCCGAATCACCTCTGAGGGCCCGCTTCCTCCAAGAATGCAGGACGTGATCAGCAGGAACGACTCAGCAACGCCTATGCGGAGTTCGCTGCGGAATGCAGAGCAGAGAAGGTCCGCTACTTGCCAATTATTAGAAGCTACCATAGCTATATTGGGAGGCTCGCGTGCACAGGGTTTAGGGCTCCATCTTTTTTTTTCTAGTCCCACTTCTGCAACGGATCACGGCATGCATGACTGCTGCCCAGTGGACTCGGAGTGTGGGTTATTATATTCCTTGGCTATAGCTAAGGCTGCAGGGCTCCGCCGTTCAATTTGGAGGCCATGAAAGCCAATCGGGCTACTGGCCAATTCCCGACACTGGCACAGAAGCACCTGAGTGGGGCTGTGGCTAGATCAACTATAAGTTAACATGTGTCAATTATTTTCACATGTTGTTCGGATTTCTAGATCCGAGCAACTGCATCTGGCTAGCTCAGGAGTCCATAATATTGGTTCGGTGGCTGGCCGCGAAATGCTGGGTTGTGGCTTCACAGACAAACAGCCACCACGATCTGCTGCGAGCTGCTGTTTTTGTCGGGCTGGACCGACTTCGGTGCACTTTTGTTGATGCAGGGCCTGTGCTGAGCACGCAAGAGCTGCTGCAAGCTGAATTCTTCAACGACTTATATCATTGTGCTTATCTGGGAGCCGTGGTGTAATTCAGTCGGAACCTCCGCTGTCGAATGCAAGCAGCATTCAAAAGGTATGTCCCAGGCCTATAACCTTGATTCCTTCATGTCGGCCTCATCCAAGGACTAGCTCGCGAGGCTGTCGATGCTGGGGAGCTCGCGTGGAAAATCCGGCCAAAATTCCATGCGAGCCGTGGCTGAATCATTCATGCTTTTGCAGGCCTTTTTTGCCACTCAGCTTGTGCAGTACCCTACACCCTAAGTCTCCTTTGCAGATGCTACACGGTCCTTGGCCCTAAACCCTCAGCCTCAATCTTTGGATCTATCATGTGGACCTTCGGCCGCTTGGAATTTGGGATTTAGTGTTTAGGGGTTCGGGCTATAGGTTTTACGGTTTAGGTTTATAGGGTTTCGGGTCTAGGATTTAGGCTTTCGGGTTTCGGGTTTGCTTTGGCTTTTGAATGAATCCAAGGCTGGACCACATAGTGCTGGATGTGGCCCACCTCACCAACCCGATCAGGGTTGCAAATTACCAGGAGGAGGACTTCGTCGGCCGCATCAAACGGATGCTTGGCTGTTGTTTCAGATATGTTGGACGTTTCGTTCGTGCTTGCAGTGTATGCGAGCTGGTCAGGATTGCCATCTTGGAAAATCCAAAACATCTGGGGCGGGCGGTGCTGGAAAGGTGGGCGTGGAGCGTGGCAATTCGCTGGGAAAATGCCCGGCTCGAACGACTCGGCTCCGATGAGTCAGATTCCTGAGTGCCGCCTGCAAAATGAAAGAGAGTCTGTGCAGACCCTGAAACCTCAACAAGAAACCCTTAAGAGAGCCCCGAGCCCAGATCCCTTGATGCAGCCACCTGCTATAGACCAAACCCCAGGCCCTGAACCCCTGGATGCAGCCACCCTCGACCTTAAGCCACCTCGACCCTCAACTGTTAAGAGTCCCAGAGCCCCAATAAGCCTGTTGTCCGTGTCGAGTGCATTCGGTGGCATTGGGGTTCAGGTTTCGGGCTTGAGATTTCATTGGAGTTGAAGTTTAGGGCTTAAGGCCAGGCTGTCTATATGTAGCCCCGGGCACGCGAACCCCCTAAAGATCGTCCTATTTCGCATTAAACGACATATGTTAAGTGATGGGTTTTTGGGGCCTTCTGTTAAGTGATTGGTTTTTGGGGCCCAGAACGCCAAACACGTCACTCAGAGGGCCCTGGGTACGACATTGCTCACCTCATGATCTCTGATATCTCTGAGTGTGAGAACTCAGTTGAGGAGTTTCTTTGGTTGCTCCAACGCCATTACACCTGCCTGAACGAGCTTGCGGAGCCGGAGGCCTCCCTTGCTTTTGCCTCACGCCGCCGGGGGACGGAGCTAGGTATACCTCCGGTCTGGCGGGCGAGTCTAGGGGCTTGGGTGATGAGGAAGCTTTGGAGTTACTGAAAGGTTCGTAAACATTCGAAGGATATGCTAAGCACTGCAGGTGACGCGGCGAACTATTTCAACCTCTGTGTGTAGGGGTCCTCGAAACGGTTTGGGATCACTCGGTCACTCGGCTCACCGAGGAGAAGAGCAAGGTGACTAAGGCTTTGAACCACTCGCTCAAGGCAAAGCTGCCCAACCACACTAGGACCAGCCGATGTGTCTCGCGCAACCAGGGCGTCACCCTCCATGCTGACAACAATCAGCCGGGCTCTCTCAATCACACCATCTATGTCCTGGGAGGATTGTGGGTGGAAGCGTTTGGAGGCACAGAGCCGCGCTAATGTGATAACGGACCTCTTTGGTGAGGTCATGAGCACCCGAGGCCAGGTCTTTAGTTTTTTTGATGCTTGGCAGCGTCACGCCTCTGAACCCTGGGAACGGGACCGTTGGGTGGTCACTGCTTACTCCTGCCGAAGGCTTCAGGATTTCAGCCGAGGTGACTTGAGCATTCTAGGTGAGTTGGGATTTCCGTTGCCAGAGAATCCTGATGATGCTGTGATGGAGATCTCCAGCGGAGTCCGCATCAGGCCTGTGCGGCAAAGGTGGCCTGGTACCAGGCCGCGGTAGATATGTTGGACGGGGCGACAAGCATCTTCTGTGAGAGCTATCGCCTTCAATTTTTTCGAGTGTGCGCAAGTTGCTTTGATGGCAAGGTCTCTGTATGTCAAAGAGGACGAAGCCCAGGTTGCGTGTGAGACAGTTGACCTCTGAGGCTTTGGGCCGGGGGCCTGTTGGACGGATGAAACTTGGAAGAAGTGGCTTAGGTTCTGGTTAGGCCTGGTGCTCAAGAAGGGGTCGGGAGTAGGGCAGGGTAAGTTGGAATGTTCGTTCGATGCCTGCCCTGCTGCGCTCGTAAGCAAAACCTTGGTGAGCTGCTGCCCATTCCCCTCCTTTGCTTCCTCGGCACTGTTGGCCGCACAGGTGCTGATGCTGTGTGTTTGGGAGTCCGGGGGGCCTTCTGATGAACACGAAGGCCCTCGGGCGCAACAGGTCAGAGAGGCTGCCGAACAGGTAGGTGAGGAGTGTTGGACATT